GTTGCTCGGCCTGTGTTTCTTTCAACCAACTGGCGCGTCGCAACTGCCTGAACCCCAAATACGAAATTGACAGTCGAAGGCCTTTTGCAAAAAGCAAGGCCCGCCTTCACTTAGGGCGGGCACCTCTGCCTTCACTTAGGGCGGGTAAGGCTGCAGACAGGGCCCCATAGGCCTACCGAGGACCCTGATCCTCGCATTCCCTCCTCCTTAACTTCGTGAGTCCTCTGAGAAGTCTTCTTATTCTGCAGGCATCTTTCCTTTCCGTTCTCTTTCATAGCCTGCAATCACTTGAGGTGCTGTTCTCATGAGTTCTTCTCGTGTGAACCAGCGRTCTTCCTTKGGATCGAGGTGATGTCTGAAGCTCACCCGATACTGCATTCTTGGTTTAGGAGGTCGCCCTCTGCCCGATGGTCGAGGAACAGGCATCATCCGATGCTCGACGATCTGGTCAATGTCCACTTCGCCATCCATGGTTGGGGGCAGCATAGATCTCCGAGAGGGAAACAGATCTGTGGCAGCAAAAGGTGCCAGCTTGGAGGCATGGAAAACAGGATAAGTCCGTAGGTGTGCAGGGATGCGAATCACGTGTGAAGGCCCATCAGGTTGATCTCCTACAATATCTAAGATCTCCCAGGGGCCGAAGTACTGAGGCATCAGCTTTCTTGAGATCCCTATCTCTTGTTCCAGTTCAGATGATTTTACCCAGACTCTCTCACCTACCTGAAAGTTAGAAGGCCGTCTATGTTTGTTCTCAGATGCAATCATAGCATCTTGAGACTTTTGAATGTGTTCTACGGCCTGCTGCAGCATCTGTTCATACTTGACAGCAAACTCTATGCTGCCAGGTGCTGCAGTAGGTTGCCTTTCAGGTAACAGAAAGTCAAGCGCAGATCTGGGCTTCCAACCAAGATGTAACTGGTTGGGAGTCGTACCGGTGGTGCTGTGCACAGTATTGTTGTACAGGCTGGCGACGAGAGGTAACTTCTCGTCCCAGTCATCCTGGCTTGGCTTAATGTAATGCCTAAGCAAGTGCTGCACTACCCGGTTCATCTGTTCTGCTTGGCCATTTGACTCAAGGTGATTCCCTGACGTCATCTGGAGCTTTGTGCCCATTTGCTCAGCAATTGACTGCCACAGTTCACTTGTGAACCTGACATCCCTATCACTAACGATAGACGCAGGCAAACCGAAATCACGAACCCAATTGTCCATAAACAGTTTGATGACGTGGTCAGTTTTAGCTGTTTTTGGCATAGCGATTAGTCTTGCGTACTTAGTAAAATGGTCCACTATTACGAAGATGTGTCTCTTTCCAGACTTACTGGTCACAAGGGTATCCATGAAGTCCATGGACACACTTTGACCAGGACCTTCAGGAATCGGCAAGGGCTTGATGAGCCCAAGTGGAGCCTAAGTCCTTGGTTTGTCCCTTTGGCAAACCTGGCAGGTTTCAACATATCGTTTTGCATCTTCCATCATAGAGGGCCACCAGAATCTCTGAACTAAGTTTGCTGTTGTCTTCTTATAGCCAAAATGACCCGTTGCATCGTGACACTCTCCTAAAAATAAACTACGGAAAGACTCGCTATTAGCAACACATAGTCTTTTATTCCCTGCCTTATCAAGGAACAACAAGTCGTCTACCATCGTAAATTCGTCCAAAGTCTTTTTATCCTTTGCCTTGAACCTACGAATGGTCTCTGACATGACTGGGTCTCCCTGATAGGCTTCCACCAACAATCGAGTGAGGTCATTAGATATGCCAAACTCAGTTACTAGCGCGCCCAGATAATCTGCCCTTCTTGATAGCGCATCAGCCACTTTGTTGTACGTACCCTTGATAGGATCAAGTTGATAATCATACATGTTTATCACTTGAATCCATCTCTTGAGTGCGTCCGACAAGACTGGCTGTGTCTTGATCCAGTGCAAAGTCTCATGGTCCGACCTCACATAGAAGAATCTTCCTAGGAGGTAATGTCTCCAATGAACTAGCCCTCTATACAGGGCGTAGAGCTCTCTCTCATAAGTGGACTTGGCCAACTTCTGAGATGGCATCTTCTTGCTCATGTACTCGATCGGTCTCAACTTGGGCCCTTCCTGTTGCGCAAGGACCGCGCCTATGCCATATTGGCTGGCGTMTGTGGTCACAACAAACGGCTTGTCAGGATCAGGAAGTTTGAGAACTTCATAGTGTGTCAGATCATACTTCAATTTCTTGAAGCTGGCTTCACACTCTTCAGTCCACTCCCAAGGGGTGTCAAGTCGAGTTAGATCC